GAGTGTACAATCCGGGCAACGAGCACGTCTCCTTCACTCGCGATAAGCACGTAGAAAGGATTTTCGGCTGCCATATGTAACTACACCGTTAATCACATTTCTTTCTTTCTTTCTTTCTCTCTCTCTCTCTCTCTCTCCCTCTCTCTCTCACTCACTCGCTCTTTTCCTCGCACGCACATTTCATGCTCTCACTTCCTCTTTCATTCTCTCTTTCATTCTTTCTTTCTTTCTCCTCTCACTATCACAATCATAGGTTAATATTAATCGAAGAGCGATACGATTTTTACAAAGCAGAACACAATTCATTTCGTTCTTTTTTTTTTTAATTTATTTGCCGTTCTTCCGTTTTTTTTTGTTTCTTACTTAAGGGTGTCAATAGGTCATCAATACGCAAACAGTTGCAAAAATCTGATTCCATACCGATATAGTAAATTCTTTAGCTTACTATACACACATCGTATCGTCGCCGTACGCGTCACCGTTGTCAGCTTCACAGACCTCTCGTATTCTCGCGATCGTTTACGCATCGTTCTCATGATCGTAACAATGATCGCCGCGATCTTCGCCGTGGCGAACGGTCGTCGTCGTCGTCGTCATCATTATGATCATCTCGCCGCAATCGTCTCGACATTGTAGCCATTATCATCACCATCATCGTCATCATATCATCGTCCATAATTATACAATAATTATACATCGTGTCACTTGTCTGGCTGACTATCCTTCACGCACGCACGCACGCACGACGCGTTTTCCAAGTTTTCCTCTCGTAATGCAAATCGCTTCTTTCGCGCGTTCCTTCTTTCTCTCTCCCTCACACATACATACATACACACATCCTCTCGTGCACTTATTATTCACACACACACGCACATACATTTATTTGCTTCTTCTCTCTCTCTCTCTCTCTCTCTCTCTTTTCTCTCACTCTGCCCTCGTCGCTCGGTCGTCGCTCATAAAATCTTTGTTACGGTTTACCCTCTAACATGATTATTACTTAGATACCTTACTGTTACTTCGTATACATTTTTAAGGCGATGATTCAATCGAGTGAACTCATTTATAAAACGTACAGCCAATACGACGTCCGGTCGATCCGGTCTCCTTCGCTCGGGTCATGCCGATATCCGCGCGCACGCACGCGGTGCGCGCGCGTGCTCGATCGTGCGGCCCTCCTCGTCCGCGAAACGCGTCCGGCCGGTAGGAGACGAAGAAACGTGTCTCGCTAGAAAATAATTACGTCTTTCGGATTTTCTCTCACGCGGAGTAGAGGAGAGTTTGTTCACGTCGTATCGAACTGCGGCTTTCGCTAAGACTACTTCGATCGATCATTGGACATCGCGCGTTAACTTCGTCGATTCGTCAACTATCCCCTCGGGTTCGCTATTGCACTGGATACACACCGTGGACGCGAGTGTGACATCATCGGAGAAAATAATTTCAACGTTCCACGAACGTAACATCGTATTTTCCGGGCAATATTTTATACAGCGATCGCGGCTCCGCGATTGTATACACGTGTGAACGTTCCTGTGTGTGACTCCTTTCGAAAGCATCACTTTCCGCCGGGGGAGATCGATCGCCGCGTGACACGACCGCCGTGTGATCCACTACCATGTTGTCGCGCGCGGCCGAGAAGGCAGGCTTCAACAAAATTAAACAATATATCGCTCAACAAATATTATTCGTAAATACGTGCCGTCGTCTTCGCAGCCGCGCGCGACAACAGCGGCGGCGTCGGTCGTCGGATTAGTTACTCCCTGTGTGATTGTCTCGTTCTCGATAACTATTTATAGATATAGATTACTCTCTTACACTGAATCGCCGAGATTGCGCGCGCTGGAATTCATCATCATGGTGGTCCTCGTTTAAAAGAATCCGCGAGAGACGCATGTCGCGGTGTCCGCGTAATCGGAAAGTTAAAAACCGGTCTTTAGCGCGCGCTAAAATTATCCTCGAGTGATAAAATTGATAAAAAATCACCACGTTAGGCGGAGAAAGATCTTCGTCTCGAGACGGAAAGTCTCGCGCGCGTAATCTCGGCGGCGCGATCTCTCGCACGCAACGTATACAATTTCCGTCCGTCCTCTTATCGTATACCGTTTTCATCCGTCGCTCGATGATCGCGATTAATCTCCCCGACGAGAAAGTTCGCGCGGCGCGTCGAAGGGCCCCGGATGGATTCGCACGGCCGCAAGAGGGACCCCCCAAAAGGCAAGAGGGGGTCCTTCCCCGCGCTTCCTACGCCGTTCGGTCGAGACGGTCGAGGATCGAGCAGCGCGCGTCACGTAGAGCAGCCACGCACGTGCGTATCTGTCTCGCACGCGCGCGCGACAATTAACTTACGAATTCGTGCAGTAATTCTTCCGATTTCACCAGGACCGTAACTATATACTGACTTTTCTCGCACCTGAGTCTTTCGGTATACGTGGGTTATCTCTCTTTATTACTTTTCTTTTAGTTTAGTTTAGTATACTAGAACGCCGAGATCGCGCGAGGCGCGACGCGCGACGCTACCGGCGTACCTCCTTATCGGTCGGACATCCGCCCCCGGATAGAACAATAGAACGCGCGTGTCGCGAGGTACACCGGCGGTTCGCCGGCGCGCGGCTCGGCCCTCGGCAGGGAGCAGTGTGTTACATTAAAATTTTTATACAAGATTTGCGTGTATGCGGGCGTATTGAAAATATCGATAAAATTTTTGTCTTATGCTCTTTCTGCCTTTTCCCCCCATTTTTTTTCTTCATTTTCCCTTCTCGCTACCTCCACCTCCTCCTCCACCACCTACTGCTACTCCTCCTCCTCCTCCTCTACTCTCGTCGTCCTCTCGTTTCGCTCGTCGCACTCCGTCGATCAGGAGAGAGGACGGTTCCGGCGATCCATCCTTCCGAACGAACCGTCGCGTCTCGATCGTCGAGAGATCAACGAGACACGCGTCCTCGTGTGACGCGCGTGACGTCAACGAGGGGCGATTTTTTTCCTTCTTTTTTTTTGCTTTATTACTTCGTACCCTTATTCGCGTCGTGTGAATCCGCTCTCGCGTATAATCGACGTTTTAATTTCATTAAATTTTTTTCTCTTAATAAACATGTGCTCTGTCTGGCGCGCGGTATCGCGTTTATAAAGGTCTCTCGAAAATTCAAACCCCTTCTTCGAAAACACTCGTCCCCTTCGCTCCTATTCCCTCATTCGCATGTTCGTTTATCTCTTTCTGCCTTTCTTTTTTTCTGTCATCGTTTGCTCGCTAACATCATTTTACGTATATTAGGGACGCGCACGCGATAAGATTTGTATAGAAATATAGAGATTCCTGATAACTGCGTAATGAGGGGAAGAACGAGGGACAAGCGATCGGAAGGGATTAAATACAGATTGGAAATTGATTGCGTCCTATTTCCCTCCTTTGTTCGATCGCGCCTACGAAACTAATATATTACGCGAGACAAGACACGGCAATCATAATCTAAAACAGATGCATAAGACGAATCGCGTTCGGGACAACGAAAACACACTGACGGATGACGGAATCGGTGACGGAGAACGAGCGCGTGAAAACGGAAGGGAAAGGAGGATTGAGGAAAGATCGAAAGCAAAATCGAAAGATTCGGCATTCGTGTGTCCGAATTCGCGATCGACCATGACGATGAGTCGCGAATTGAACGCGTGTGTGTAAAGGAACGCGCGCATATACGGGAACAGAAGGCGGCCGCATCGTATGACACCGGTCCGTCTTCGTCGGGGCGAGGAAAGGATCGGGAAAGTGTCGGATTCGAAAGGGCTCTCCTGTATTCGTCGCTGATTGGTTTCAAGAGAGGGACCTCGTCCGCGATCGGCGTGTTCGGAAGCGCAGCTATGAGCACCTCGACGACGTGGTTGCGGGCGCGTGTGTCAGATTCAGAATTAAAAGAAGAGCGAAAGACTTGGAGCACCTACCAAGTTTCTTCCTTGTTCCGAGCTGTCGTCGATCGCTGCCTCGACGAATTGCCATCCACTTCCTTCCGGAAACTCGATGAAACTTCGGCAAGCAATACATGCTCGACCCAAGTCGATCGTGTATTTATGTTTCAACTCCCCTTTCGTAAATTTGACAAAAAACCCGCGATCGAATATTTTCCCAGATTGACCTCGATTTGGTTCTTTCGCGATTCTTTCGTCGAGACGTCATCTCGATGGCGCTGTGTGCATCGAGCGGGAGCGGAGAAAAATAACGTAAATCTACGCGAAACATCGCTTTGCGAATTAATGAAACGTGTGAAAACACCTCAGAACCATATAAGAGTTATTAGTTACATACACAGGTTAATGATAATCGTTTTATTCTCAACATCGTCCACTATTTTCTCATGTGTTCGCTTACTTTCCGCATGTCTCATCTTTTACTTCGCGTGTCACTTTCCTTCTCACTTTGAGATACGAATAAAAGGAAATTACGACGAAAACGAATCGTTCCTCTCGATCTCCCGCTCGACTCTTTCTCCTCCGCCGCTTTCTTTTTCCCGACGCGGGAAAAGCCGGCGCGCCGGAAAAACGAGCGCGAGTTGGCGCGTGCTCGCGAACCGGTCCTCCCGTTCGAATTCCGCCCGCTTCCTCTTCGTATTTTCACAATTGAGTTAACTATTTATACAGAATATATTATAATAAACTGTGTGTAAACGTGTGTATTCTCTTCCGTTTAATTATTTTTATGGTCGTGGGAGAGCTGTGTTTCGTATCGCTGTATGTGTGTGTGTTTGGGAGTCCGTATATACGCGTGTTTCCCCGCGAAATTGAGAGAGTAGTGTCTTTAGTGTGTATATGTTTGTGAATATATGTTTCTTGTGCGGGAGCGGGGGTTGGATTGGGTTGGGTTTTAGAGGGTGGGACTCTCTCGGAGGGATATCGCTGCGTCATCGAGTGCACGACGAAGAGCATCAATCCTCTTTCTCTCTCTTTCTCTCTCTCTCTCTCTCTCTCTCGCTCGCTCGCTCGCTTTCTCTCTCACTTTCACACTCAGACACTCTCCCTTTCTTTCTTTCTCTTTCGCTCTCTCTCTCTTTCGCAGGTATCTATATCTCGTTTTTATTTATAACTATAATCCCTCAACACGCGTTTACTCTCTCGTGTATTCTTTCACTCGCGCCACTCGCGTCTTCCGCTCCTCTTTCTTTCTCGGTTCGCGCGGAAATTTATTCTTCTGTTAGTACGCGTCGGCAATATACCATAATCGTCCCAGTCCAACTACAACGCTCGACTTATATTACAACCGGGGCCACACGTTACTCCGTCATGTATATATATTTATATATATATATATAATATATTCTTCCTTTAATTAGTAAATTCATTTATAATTAATAACTGTACAAATTTTAATGTCTCCTATATATATATGCAAGTGAATGGTCGACGCTCGAGTCCGGCACACGCGTCGATGTCATTCGGCCTAATTCATTCTCTTTCGCTCTCTTCCGCTTCGCGTCCATTTTATTTTTTATATACCTTTGAACATCTTCTCCGTACCATTTAATAATCTTCTCTCTCTCTTTTCGTCCTTTGTGTCTCTCTCTCTCTCCTCTCGCTATTTATATTTATTTATAATATATATATATGTATATATATATATATACTCTCCAACCTTTTTTGTATGTCTCTCGTACTCTCGTTTTATACCTCTCTCTTTCTCTCTCCCTCTCTCTCTCTCTCTCTCTCTTTCTCTCGTGTGGTCTGTGCACGTGGACATACTCTCTATCTTCCGTGCGAGCACCGGGTTTGCCTCTTTTCCGTTTTCTTCGTTTCTTTTAATGTACATGCCCGCTAAATTGCCTATATCACTTATATCTCATTAATATATCTCGATCGCGACCGTATTAAAATTTAACATTTAAATTCTTCCATCACTACAATATTACACCGCGATATTTGTACAAAGAACAATCACATGAATTTCTTCGCGGCCGCGTCACTTTCCAGGCCAGGCCGCGACTTCATCCTCCTTCCATCGCGCGTCGCCGCCGCTCTTCCGGGGCGCCTCGGCTCGTGCCGTCACGTAACCGTCCCTCCACTTTCGACGGTTCTACCAATATCTTCCGCCTCCTCTCCTCGTCGGCCTCCCACGGCGTTTCCACCCGCCTCGTCCTACCTCCTGGAACCGGGAATCTCATTCCTCCGTCCTTCCTCTCCTTTCCCCGTGTCCTTCTCGCGTTTTCGAGCACCCCCAGATCGTCACGGATTTCGACGTGCGGCGTGGCAAGAAATCGTCGGGACCTACCATGGCGATCGTCCTGAAGGCCACGGATCATCGTTGTCCTCCGATCCTGGCCTACGCCAGCTGGAGCACGGTGCGTCTGTCACGCGTTTCTCGTGTCGTTAGAACCGTCGTTCCATCGTGCATTCCATTCTTCCGAAAGTGTTCCTGGAACACGCGAGGTTGGCGATCCTCAATTTAACGCGATAAGATTATCACGCTAACGAGGGGGAAATAAGTAAGATTGCAAAAGCTGTGATTCACAATCACCTGTTCCTCGCATATTTGACACATATTTGTATATTAACACATTATTAACCCTTTGCACTCGAGGGCTCCGGAGCGGAGCCATTTAAAATTTGTCTTCAAACTCGAGGGCTCCGCTATGGAGACAATGCAAATAACTTTCAGTTCATAACATAAGGACAAAGACAAATCGTAAAAACTATTGTGTATAGGATATTCCGCTCTTGCTATTTGCATTTGAGTTTGAAGACAAATTTTAAGTGGCTCCGGAGCCCTCGAGTGCAAAGGGTTAATACTAAAACTACCGATGATAAACATGCACCTTTCTGCCGGAGCAGTTTAAGATTTTTAAGAAAATACATAACGCACAGGAAAAAATATTTATTCGTCTGCACATTGCGACCAAAATTACGGTTAATCTCAGAGAATGCACTATTAGAAATTGGAGTAACTTTTATAAGAAAAAAATTACAAATCGATCATTTTGACCGCTTTAGTAGCTTTAGTGTTAACCGCACGAGTTGCGCTTCGCTACTTCGAGTATTTTAGCTTAAACTTTTTTACTACTGTATAATTTGGAGCGTATTAATAATACCATGAGATTTCGGAAGAAAGCCAATCGTTACTCTCCGGAACCATTCTAAAAGCCAGGGCTGATCGATCGATTAATCCATCATAAAACGAATAGGTCTACTCAAGCGGTCAGTAATGTGTTAATATCTCTTTCCGCATACGAGGTACAAATCCGCATACAAACATATTACACATACATAATACATAAATAATTTTTTATTTCCAATTGATAACAACAAAAATCTCATTACATCAATCGTTCTCGATCCATCGACTATAACGAAAATAAAAAAAAAAAGGAAATCGTGGTACTCCGCATTTTGCGCGGCACGGAATCGGGTAAATCGGCGATTACGGTGTCGATGTACAAACCTTTATAAGTGATGTCCATAGTACTCTGACGGGTAATGGTACTGATTGTGGAACGCAGGATCAGTGGGCGGCCGGTGTATCATGCTAGCCGCCTGTCCGTCCATCATGTAGCCCATCGTCGCTTCCGGACTGTATGCCCCGCTCGGTCCTGCGGACAATGGTGGAAACACTACACGTTACTACGGTTAGATCTCTGTTCCGTAATTGGCAGGCGAGTACTGGACAAGCTCGCCGACCCCTTCCGAAGTTCTCGAGGAACTCGAGAACCCGAGAACCACTCGATACTCGGTCCCCGCCTCGCGAAGAGCTTGGTAGAAGACCAGGGAGATCGAGGAGCATACGTCCAGGGGTACAACGAGCTGTGTATGTGTGCGTGTGTGTGTGTATGTGTGTGTGATGTGACTCGCCAAAGTCACGATCACGTCCCTGATAAGGCCCGGAGACTTATGCGTATCGTAAAGTCGAATCGTTCTCAGCCGCCACGGCGAGCTGTCTCGCTTCGTTCGTTTTCTTCGCCTCGCGCCTCGGGGAAAAAAAAGTACAAACGGACTACGAGAGAGTCAAGGTCTTCTGAGTTGACTGTCGGGAGGAACGCTAATCGCGCTCGCCAACGTCAATCCGTAAGAATTGATTTACAGCGCGATATCGGGGGTTCTTAATAATTGATACCGCGAGATTGTAATTCCCAATCGCGTTTACAGCTTCCTCGTGACACCGGCGACGTCGACGTATGCGTGCGCGTGTGTATACGCCCGCGTCAAGTATGTATGTTCCATTGATATTTTCAACATTACTCATATACTCATATATTCATTAAAAGTCAGTTTTCTCGCGCGATCACGAGCGTGTTCTCCGATGACCTGTAACTATCTGCAACGATACGCAATCAATCGGCGCGCGGAATCAAGAAATAAACTGTCGCGATCGCTAATGAGCAAAAAGAGAGAGACGCGTAACTGCGAGTGCGAGCAGCCGATCACCATTAATTTCAGGGAAAATGTTGAACGGATCAAGGCGCAGCTGAGAATTCAATCTCGCCCGAGAGTTCCAATGCAACGTGACGACAGCTCGCCTCTCTCTCTCTCTCTCCCTCTCCTTCTCGCCGTCCTAAAGCGGTAATGGAGCCTCGGAATCCACGGGAGACTCCCCTAGTTTTAATGTCGGTATCTTAATGTATATTGCCACGATAAATCAAGGGCACTGATTGCGTCCTACCCTCCGCACTCCAATACACGCTCGTCCCGACGAAAAGCGACGACACGAGCGAGACGGCGAAGGCGGCGAGAGAGGGACAGGCGGGACGAGCGTCGCCGAGATCCGAAAGGCACGAGGGCTCGACCGCCATTGTCGAAATGCTCCGCTAAGCCTTTCTTATGCTAAAATCCAACCTGCATCCCCCGATATAACCCACAGTTAGTCACTGCAGCATTATCGAGCCCCGTCGTATCAACCCGCGTTTTATCTCGAAGCGAGTTTTGCGAACCGAATATCTCCCCGGGCATCGTCGCCGGCACGGTAGACGACTATCGATGGATTTTCCTGTTACTCTTCGTTTCTTTTCTATAGGATTTAGCGGGTCGTAAAGCGCATTACAACGGATGGTAGCGCTAGGACGCATTGTATCGATCAGTAGAACCGCGGGTTTACGCTTAATAAGGAGCCGACCGCTCTGTGCCACCTAGCAGCAGCGCGGGACTCCATTTCTCTTGCGCGAAACGGAATTACGAGCTTTGCTAATTAAGCCGCCGGTTCCGGGAGATCGCGGAAAAGAGTGCCAATTAAGGCTCGCTCGCAACGCCGGAGCTATTCTCACAGACAGTACGCGCGACTTCGTCGGGTATCGCGCTTTCCCACGGGTTGGGCCCCGCTCGATTTTTCATCGGCGATTTGTCAAAAAGCAGGAAACCCGCGATCTCGCGCCCCATCCCCTCTTCCTCCCCGCCCCCGCCTTTTTCGCCGTCTCGCTCCGGGAGACGAGTTCTTCCACGCCGCGCCGCCGCGCGTTTCAAACGAACTCGCCGCGCGCTTTACTTCGCCAGCGACCGAACCGTAAATCACAATTATTGCGAGCGTCTCCCACCGCGCCAGCGCGCTCTCCGTCTCGTTCCTCCTCCGGTTTTTCTTAAGAGTGTTTTTCAAGCGTGTGCGCGCGTTCTCCGCCGCGGCGGCGGCTCTCGTACCTCGCGATGGCTCTCTTCCCACTCGGCGAGCACGAGGAATCATTATAGATCCGACGACATCGGCGACGCAGCGTCTCTCTCGGCCTCACTCGTCGGCCGAAATACGTCGCTGGGGCGGTTTTTCACCGTGAAAATCGGGAGGGGAAACGAGACAGGTCCCCTTTTTCGAGCCGCGATGATGAATAATCGAACCACCGGAACGGGAGAATTCCCTGTCACCTCTGTCCGATCTCCAGTCCGCGACTTCGCGCCGATTCGTTCCTCCCTCCGTCCTGGACGAAGAGCTCGGCAGATTATTACCGATCCCGCGACGGCGGCCGATGGTGGAAATGTCTTGTACGGCGTGCCGTATCTCGCGGCGCGTCCGCCGCGCGGAATGTAGCCTCGTATTATAGCCACCGCGGGTACGATATCCCGCTAACGAGGGATGCGCGCTTGTAGTGTGATTAAACCGCGCTATAACGCAGCGGGGCGCCCCGGGATAGCCGGGACGAGCCACAATATGGGAAATTAAGGAATCGCTCTTCTCTTTGCAACGTCGACGAGAGAGAAGCCACGAAGGAGCCCGGGTTGCAACAAGCGCAAGGAGGGATAGGCGGGGTAGAAAGAGGATGGGGGGGGGGGAGGGGAGCAATCCGGTGATGCCCGCGAGAATTCCACTTGCGAAGTCGTCCCTACGCTCGCAAATTGCGAGTCGTTAAGACTCCTGCCGGTGCACTCCGAGCGATCGTTCGGAGAGATTCGATATCGATTAGATCGGGTCGAATCGATGGTTCGCAAATAGATCGATGGGAGAATGTGTGTGTAAAACGAATTAAATGGCAATGCGTACTTAATTAATCCGCGACGCGAGACGATGTGAATTCTATTACCGAAGATATACGGAGTCAGGGTACTTGGAATGAATGCCGTTGAAGCGCAGCTTGAGCGTTTACGGCGCGACGAGCGAGGAGGTAAAAAGCGTGTCGCGAGGTTCGTTCGCGCAGTACTCGAAACGTTAGAGGACAACGCGAAAGGGAGAGAGCGAAGGTATTCCGCGATCGACCGATCGGAATCTCGCGCGGCAATAAAAGAAATCCCGGTGGAGAGTTCGCCTCGAGATAAAATCGGGATCTATAAAGGCGTCCCGGGAATTTCCTGTGAATAAATCATGAGTCGCATTGCGGAGGATCAAAGATGAAGATCTCGCCCGGCCAGATCCACTGTATGAAACCTTTGAGCTATCGCCTCGTTACGCTTTAATTAACAAAGGCGAATTATCGCCGGCTATTATCGCCGTCTTAATGGCCGTTCTTACGACGCCGGGAATCCTCGCGCGGCTCTTCAGAGTCATCCGGGGAATTCGTTGATTCTCCGACGCGACGGGTACCGCAGGACGAAGGACGTTATTTCCGTCCTGAGCCGAGCCCAGGAGCAGGGTCAATTCGATGAGGTTAACAGCTAACGGCGCAACGAGACCGCACGGCGATAGGAAAAACGCCGCATGGCGTAATGCAATAAAGTTCCCTCGGGTTGCGAGGATTTCGCTTGTATTTCGGTATCGCGTAAATCCGCAAAGCTACACCGACCTACCGCCTGTCGTCACATGGGATCCGTCGGCTAGAAAGCCTGTGCTACCCGGCAACTGGTAATTTACTTAGGCGAACTCGCCGCGGGACGGTGGAAAATTAGGCGGTCGTTAATCGTCATCCTGCTAAGCCCGCTAAAAAACCGTTCGGGGCGAGATAATTGTTTTCGGATTCTTCACCATCTCGGTCGCTCGAGTGTCGTGAGATCGTTTCCTATCGAAATCACGATCTCAGCATGCGACTGTAACCGCAGAATACTCTGCGATAGATGATAAAAATGATATAGGAGGGAATTTCGGAAAATATCTTACACAGTAGGGGGAAAATTTAATTTCGGATTACGCGGTGTAGCGTTTGCACGTTTGCCCGGATATGTTTCGGTGACGCTTGGTAACTGTTAATATTCCGCCGGAGACGATAACTAACGGGACGATAGTTGGAATATTTTCTCATATCCATTAAAGACACTATCTTCGTAACTGAATGAAATTTGCTACCGACTCATTAACTTGCTACCGGGCGACCGATGGCAGAACGGCCTGGAATTGCCTCAAGGTGGATCTAATTAAACTTTCGCGATGGACTCATTCGAAGCGGCGGAACGTCGAAGTTCGGCCGCGAGACGGAACCGCCGCTTCCTCCGAAGTACGAGAAGAAAATAAGTAAAGGCTTAAGGATGAACTACTTCGCAAGTGGATACGTTTCCACGGCGTCCCGGCGTCGTTACCGAAGTTTACGCGAAGCTTGCGGGTGAGTCTCTCGCAGGCTCTCGCTCTCTCTCTCTCTCTCTTTCTCTCTCTCTCTCTTTCCGAAATCGAAGAATATGGTGGGCGAACATGATGTCAGCGTGGCGCACCACAAAATCCGTCGAAATATCGGCGAAGCGCGGACGAGTGCGCGAGGGAAAATTACGTTCCGGTTTATGCTCGACCACGACGATGGGGTTAATGAGAGGTCGCGCGGGAGTTTTACAAAGCCCGGGCGGGCAGCCGGCCGAAATCCCTTCCGATGAATTCGGCCGCGGAACACGGGAACAACATTAGTAGTAACTTATGGTTGCGGCCTGGCTGGATGCCTGGCCGCATTCGCAGCGGTAGGCGGAGAGCCGGGAGCGTAGATACGGGCAGAAGCGTGTAAGGTGGTCGGACTACTCTGGCTGCCACCGGTGCCTAGACGAGCGAGGAATCCTTACGGAGGTTAGTGGGTGGCGTTCTCCAACTTAGTTGGCGGCGACACGCCGAGTGTTCACGCCGAGTTTCCGTCCGGAGTTCCGTCGGAGTTCAAGCCGAGTTCTCCTCCTCGCCAGCGAGTTCGGTATAACCCAACCTAACGTTACCGACGGAGTTTCCAGGAGCTTTCGCGTAGGAGGGTGTTAAAACCGCGAACGGGCGAAGGGAGGG